AAGATGTGAAGGACAAACCTGCTGGACAGGCTTATCATAATCTTTTGGATTCACAAACTCTGTCACACCAAACTTCTTGGCTGTGAAAATTTTAAAGGAAAGCATAGAATCAGTGCCAAAATTTAATGAGAAATAACTATGGACATTCTTGTTCATAGAAAACCAATGCACTCACCATCATTGAACCTGCTGGGATTCAAATCAATGCCAATGATCCTAGAAGCCCCAGCAATCCTAGCTCCTTCAGCAGCCTAATAATTTTGTCAAAATGACAAGAAAACATTCTCAAATTTCACACGGCCATGACAACGAAAACTACATAAGAAAAATAGGTGGAATATGTACTCACAGCAAGGCCAACAGCTCCCAAGCCAAAAATAGCTACAGTAGAACCTTTGGTAGGTTTGGCAACATTCAGAGTTGCACCAAGTCCTTCAGAGTAGATGAACTCCATCAGATATCCAATTATAACTACTCTTTCATTTAACAAATGAGTAATTGGCTACAGTTCAAATCCAACCTGTTGATATCCCACAACTCAGAACACAAACTTTGTCAAGTGGTGCCTGTGGATCAATCTTGGCGACGCATCCAGAATGGACAACGGTGTATTCACTAAAGGTGGAAGTTCCAACAAAGTGATATATTGGCTTGCCATCTTTGGAGAATCTTGTCTGACCATCATGGATCATAACTCCCCTGTCTGTGTTTATTCTAAGGAGGTCACACATGTTGCTTTCCTCTGATTTACAGTGTCGACACTGCTGGCATTCACCAGTGAACACAGGAAGAACATGGTCTCCTGGTTGGAGATCTGTAACACCTTCACCTACACTCTCCACAATTCTATAGCCACACAAATGGAAATGTATTTTAGAATATACTGATTAAGTTTGAAAATAATTTAAGAAAATTTGACTAATATAAAATGTCATACCCTCCAGCTTCATGTCCGAAAATACGAGGAAATAGTGGTGTTTGCCCCTGCAACAAAAGAGGAGATTTCAAATCATTAAGTACACCAATTAGATGGACAAAAGGGATAAGGTGAAACATTTCAAAAAGGAACACTATAAAATTCCATTACAGGAATGACCATCATTGCAAAAACGAGTATTAGCAGCATAGAGAATTAAAAGCACACATGAAACAATTTAAAACAGAGAAGACAACTAAAGGTTTGAAGAAAACCTCATTAAAACAATTCTTTTGGTATCACATGGTTAACCATAAGTATAGCATTGTACATTCCAATAGGGTGTCTGGTTAATGTAATCATTCAACCACACTTTTCCATATATTGAATAGATTCATTTGCGCTTCTAGCACCCAATAACCATGGTCAATAAAGAAAATTAAAATTGAGAATCCAAAGTTTACACAGTTATGTAAATTATCGTGGTGGTTAGGCTCTCACCCTATAGAAACCAGATCGTCGCATGATTTTCTTCTAACACTATATTAAAAATCAAATGCAAAAGTACACTTATGACTGCAGCATTCCACAAATCCTTACAATTCACAAACTAACAATGCCACTGTGAAAAGGACCAATTGCAGTATTCCACAATTCAAATACTAGCACTGGCACTGTGAAAAGGTCCCCGTAATAACAATGGGGAATTGGTTATCGACTACCAATAATTTGGTGACATGTTCTTATAGGCCCGTGCAAAAATCATTGGAAAGCTAGGAGAAACGACTCGTAGCCAGCCCAACTGAAATACCTCTTAATTCAATGACTAAGTGCGGTGTGCAGGAGCTGGAATAGCTTTGATTACCATTTCCCAGCGCAAATACACATATTACCATGTAAAACACAAATTAGTTGAGATTATGCCATCACCAAACAATGAAGTCATAAAATGTATAGCGGCAAGCAAAAGTAGAAGCTTTAAGAAAGTACCTTAGCTTCCCAGAAGTAAACATCAGTATGGCACAAGGAGGTGAAAAGAATCTTGAGGCGAACTTCACCTTCCTGTGGTGGTGCCACCTCCACTTCTTCAATCACCAATGGCTTCCCCGCTTCCCATGCAACCGCAGCTGCATTATACATTCACATTGACAACACAATTATCACTCGTCCGCGGACAAATCAATCAAACGTACATAAAAAAGAACTTAATTTTATCAAGATTTGCTCAACTATGGATGCCGAAAAGGAAATTAAACGGAAACTTTTTACAATTAACATTTGATTCAGAAAAGGAAACCACTTGTCAAAACACACTCATAATCACACACAGGAGAACAAATGATCCAAACAGACCATGCAAATACAACAGCTCTGAGTTATCCATGAACACGCATGACAAAACTACTTTATCAAATACCTCTGTTCTGAAAAGAATGACACAGTTTGGCTTCCTAGCTCAAAAGCACTTAGATTACTCAAGAAAATACATTTATTTTTCATGAACAAAAACAATCTATATTCAGTGACTAGTGACAACCGAAAGACTTTACTATACTAATACTAAACAACTCATTTATAAGAATGTACAAAAGAGTGTGGAATGGTACTAACAAATAACTAAGCAAACTTTAACAACTTCGTCTAAATTACACATCTAATCAGAATCCGTGATACATCAGAAATCATTATACAAAAATAAAAATAAATACTACCCATAATTAGGCCCAAAAAAAAAGTTCCGAAAAGAAATCAGAAAAAAGAGGCAAAACCAGATCAATTTGTTTGTCAAAAGATACTAACAGAAAACCTCATTAATTTGCAACAAAATGACCTGATCAAAAAATCCTCCCCTAATTGGACAAGGGAAAAAAAACTGAGATCAAAGGAAGTACCTTTGCAACGAATGACCTGACCAGCAGCATTGCTTGACATTGTTGTTGGTATCTTTTTATCTGTCTGCTACAGTAACTTATTCTTTTGTTCAAGAGTAGTAATTTTAATGAACTGACTATATTATTCTCCTATGTGATTGCGGATATATATATATTAGAGTAGAGAGAGTGAAGAAGAGAGTGGGGAAAGTTGATTACTACACACCGTCAGAATAGTGTTTTGAGGTAACAGTGGACGAGAAAACCGCTCACTTCAATTGAATACGTACGTTTTGCACGGGAAAATGGCACACAGTTTGTGCACGTCCTTCTTTCTCTCTAAATCCAATGGCTTTTTCTAACTTTTTCTTATGTCACTTTCTCTATTTTGGACCTTTTCTATGCGACGTGTCTTCTTCTTCTTCCACATGACTCACCTATCTTCTATCTTCTGTGTATTATTAAAAACCAAAAAAAAACTCACATTGAGTCAAGTGGCAGACAAAAAAAGTTACATGGCATAATTAGTTAATAATTAATTATTTAATTAGAATTATTTATTGGTTATTATTTTTAATTTAAATATCTATAAAATTCGAAGGCAGTATAGAAAAAAGCCACATGACATAATTAGTTATTTAGTTAGAAATTATTTATTAGTTATCGTTTTTGAATTTAAATATCTATAAAATAAAAAAAAAAAAAAATTGCCAATTCAAATTGGAGAGTTGTTTCAAGTTAGAGTTTTTAAATATTTTAAACTAAAAAAATAAAAAGATTCAATTTAAATTTGGAAGTAGTTTCTTCCTAAAATGATAGCCTATATACATAAAAAAAAATACGACAAAATATTAAACAAAATAATATGCTAATAAAAATTTCGATTAACAATGTAATAATACTAAACATTGGATAATATAATATAAAAAAAATATAAACAAAAAAGTTATTCGATAACTATATAAGTCCCTTTAATTTAATAGAGATTTTATTATTGAGAATATCGTATTGACAAATAAGATGACAATTGAAACTTATTAAAGTAATACGATCTATAATGTTCAAACAAGCCCGGTTACAATTAAATTTAACTAATAGTTTTTTTTAATATTGACTGTGCATTACACGGGTACGACTACTAGCTTGTTCACTAATAGGAGTTAACTTTTTCTTTCGAACTCGCTTGTAACGTGACAAGTGTCACAGATTCATTCATCCTTTAAATCAAAATCAATTTATTTAACTATAATATTTTAAATTAAAGTGTGAGTACTTATTACTTTTAATCTTTTATGATTGAATTATGAGAACTTACATACAGTATATATTTTGTATTCATTAATTAATTTAATAGTGTGTGTAAGTATATTTTTGTTGAATAAAAAAGGGGTAAATTTTATAAACGAAATATAACTAAGACGAAATAATCATGCATTGAATGCAACAACTATTTTAGCCTCTTCTAACTTCTTTGCAAATGGGTGATCAAGTAGATTTCAAAAGGAAAAAAGGAATCCGATAAAAGTGTATCATAACAAAATGTTTTCTTTGCAAAATTATATCTAGATTATTTTTCGTGTTTGGTTAGATATCAAATTGTTTGACCTATTATATTGTAATTGTGCAAGGTGCAGAATTGATATGAGATAACGATTTTGTGATAGTGATTTAAACTAAAAGAATCCTTATATTTTCAAATGTTGGTTCGAAATAAAAGATACATTACACAGTAAGAGTTTTCTTTCCGCCCATCAAAGACAGATAAATGTCTTTCCAAAAGATTTTAGTTCCTAATCTGTTATATCAAATATTACTATTATGGTAAAACTGGGAAGACTCATAGTAAAAAGTTAATAAATCAAAATGCTCAGGTAAAGTTAAAAGAATTTTTAACCTTTAAACAATACTTTTATAATGTTTTGTATAAAAATGTGAATATGCTTCTAATTAATACTGATTAATATATCATCAAGCATTATGGTATGATTGATAGAAATCTTTTTATGTTTAATCAGATATTTCGAATTCGAGTGTTGAATATAAATTCTTATAAGAAGCACTTTCGAATGTGAAACCAAAAAAAAAAAAAGAAATAGTAGTAGTTCTCTTTTAATACATTAAAAGCCATATATCATTACAGTACTCATCTTAAATAAAATTCATATACTTGAACTATCTATATTCGGATTCGTTTCGTGCGAGAACATTTGGGGGAAGCAAATGAAAAGACTACTATTATAGTATGTCATATTTATGTGGAACATGAATAGAAATTACGAAGAGCCACATGCCTAGAATACTTGAGAAAATTTTAATTTTACCTGATGCTCCTGTTTTCATTGTTGTAAGCCATTCTTGAATACTTGGTCGTTGAAGAAGAAGAACGATTGATATCTTCCAATTTCTTCATTCTTGCCACATACTCATATGCTAGCTAATTGAGATCATTGATATTGGATTCAAGAGCTAGAGTTTTGTTTCAGGAGAAAAAGGTTTTCATAAATTTATTCGTTTCTGTTTCCTCTCCTGGTTCAATATTTATGAGTACAAGTAGCAGGGTTGTTGCCCCAAGTCTCTCTCCATGTCGTCATAATTTGTCATTTTAGACAAGAAAAGGATAAGAGAATTTATCTTCTTTATATACACTCCATTTTCCACTTTATAAAAATAAACGGAAAAAATCAAATATATTTAAATGTGTCAATATATTATATACTAGCATCTATAAACATGTGTTGCACGTTAATAATGGTACGTGATGATTTAAACATTTATTTATATGAAGGAACAATAAAATGTAATTAATGAGAGAAATTTTATGTATAATAATACAACAATCGTCTAAATGCCGAAAAATATTATTACGTTAACATAATACATGAATTAAAAATAAAAAGACATCATCAAAACTTACACAAATGATCGATTTTGTCATGTTGTTGGATAATTATTTATTATAGTTTAAAAGTATTTAATGTGATGGTATCTTAACGAACACTTCTTTGTGGACAATATTTTTTTGTGTATGTTTCCTCCTAATGTTTTGGTTGCTCTGCCTTAACCAGAACTCTTGTTGTTGACTTGATATCTTTTTTAAAGTGCAACATACAGTTGTTCGTGCAAGAAAATATATTGCGGTAAATATAGTCCAATATTTAGGATGTTCTTCCTTGTGCATTATTTATTATATTTGCAAAACATAAACGTACTAAAAATTATTTTCATACAAATTCAAAAGGATATTCCTTAGTTTCGGAAATGAAGTTGAATTTAAGGATAAGAATATATCTAGAAGCACATTGACCAGTATCATAATTTTTGCATGTATGACGTTATTGTCAAAACTTCTATATACCATTTGTGTGCTATTAAACTATTCAGAGTATCTAAGTTTAAAAATAGTATGACGGGCATATTTTTATTCAAAATCAACTTATATGCAATAGAAGATCAATTTTAACTGAGTCTATTATATAAACGATGACACTAACATACGTAAGAAATAATAAACTTGACAACAAACATGTATGGTAGAAGGTCATTTGGTATTAAAGTATTTAAGTATTTTTTTTTTGTAGTAATTATTGGTATCATTTTCTGCTGAGTCAAAAACAGAATAATATTTTGTTTTTACTATAAAATTCTGCAATCAACCTTTTATTTAGTTGATCAACATATTCATTTCTGCTAGTTAAGTTATCTTTTTAATTCTATCATGCGATTTGCACAAATTACGCTTTAATCTAATGGTAGAAATATTTCTCTTATTAAATGCACAACTATTACCATTGGTATTGATAACCAAGTGTTCAGGAAGAGCCAAATCATCTTTTAATAGATGCTCTTCTTTGTTTCTGACATGAAGCAAGAAAACACTGAATACTGGATCTCTTCTTACTTTATATTTCTTGTCAGTTGAATCTTTTTCATTTGAGGCCAGAAGTATAACTTTAGCAAGCTAGCTTTTACAGTCTCTGCTTTTATAGATTTTGGAACTACAGGTAGTTCTTGACATAAATCACATCCCAAACCATTAATTTTCCATCAAACGGTTCATTAATATCAAATATATATATCTAGAACTACGGGCAATTATTTCGATCGTTTGACACTTAGCCATAAGTGCTTCATTCCATATTATCAATTTTGTTTTCCTTATAAATTTAGCACCATTGCTCTTCTTTGATATATTTGTGATGGTTATTTAAGTTGTTTGAAAAGGTTTATAAAATCTAAAGTGGGTGGCCTCGCAATAAAATCGTTGTTAGTATATCACTTGCTATTATTGCTAATAGTGTCATGTCTCTTGATATGATATTTACGAATAATACATGACATAGAAATATTATTTTGATTCTGTCGGAGGCATCTACAAAGAATAATCCTGTTATAATAGTGTTGACTCTTTATAGTATAGTCTTGAAAGCTTGTTCTTGTTTAGGATTTAGCTTTGATTGTGCTTCCTCATATACTTGTATAATATTTTGATTCTCAATAATATACTAACATTTTTACTATCACGATACCAAAACCGACCCTATCGTGATGACGCTTATCGTGAAACTAGGCCAGCCAACATAATTCCTAAATCAAACCATTATTCTATAAAAGTCATTTTTAAGCCATTAATTAATAAGAAATCTCAAAACATAAGTCTAAATAACTAGTGCGGAATAAATACATTAGCCCGACATCGGGGTGTCACAAGTCATGAGCATCTACTAAGGTCTGAATACAATAAAGAGTCTGAAATTATACTAAAAACAATCTAAGGAAGATAAGAGGGAGAAGAGCAGGGCTGCGAACGTCAGGCAGCTACCTTGCTAACTTCGATGAATCTACCACTGAGAAATCAACACCCGCTACCGGGTTCAGAAATAACTGAATCTGCACACAAGGTGCAGGGAGTAATATAAGTACGCCAATTCAGTAAGTAATAAAAGTAAATAAATACTGAGCAGTAAGAAAATACATAATCCACATCATAATGCCACAGTGAGTACAGTATGTCTCCAAAACAATACAAAATCAATTTCCTCGTAAATCAAGCTCAGTTTCAGTAAAACCTTTTCTTATTAAAAAGAAAACATCTTTCAATAGTTTAAAACGAGTGATAAAATAGTGAGTAAAAATGATAGAAACGTAAATAGCCCTTCCGGCAAAAATATGTAACATAAATCGCCCATCGGGCATAATATCAACAGAACCAGCCCCTCGGGCTACCTCACAATCATTCGCAATTAGCCCCTCGGGCATAACATGAATCAAGAACCGCCCCTTGGGCAAAAACAAGAATCAACAATAGCCCCTCGGGCTACTTCACATCACTCACACTGGGTACCCACGCTCACTGAGAGTGTACAGACTCCGGAGGGGCTCCTACAGCCCAAGCACTATAACAAGCCATCTCGTGGTATAATCAATCAGGCCCCCGGCCTCACATAACAACAAGCCACCTCGTGGCATAAATCAATCAGGCCATGGGCCTCACATAACAACAAGCCACCTTGTGGCATAAATCAATCAGGCCTTCGGCCTCAGTAACAACTTTCTGCGGCATGCAGCCCGATCCCATAATATCTTCACAACACAGGCCCTCAACCTCACTCAGTCAGAAACCACTCAAGCCACTCGGGCAACAGTAAAACAGGAAACTCAGCCCAAAATAGCATTTAAAGTATCAAAACAGAGTAAATACGGCTGAGTTATGAAATCAGTAAAATACAGCATGACTGAGTACATATAATAAGTCAAAACAGTGAGGAATAGTAGTAAAAAGCCCCTAAGGGTCCAAAATAGTTGGCACGAGGCTCAAACATGACATCCAGCCTAAAACATAGAATACTTTCCAAAACACAATGATATCAAATAATTTTCAATCAAATACGCGACTTAATAGTCATACGGGACGGACCAAGTCATAATCCCTAACGGCACACGACTCCATGCTCATCGTCTAACGTGTGTGTCACATCAAAGTAGCACAACGATATGAAATTCAGGGTTTTATACCCTCAGGACAACACTTACAATCATTACTTACCTCAAACCGGATAAAACTCTAACCCGCAATGCCCTTGCCTCTCGACTCGGCCTCCAATCGCTCCAAATCTATTCACAACCATAACAATACCATCAACATGCGCTAATGGAATGAATTCCACAAGAAAAACTATCAAATTAAGCACAAATCTCGAAATCCACTAAACCCGGCCCTCAGCCCACGTCTCAGAATCTGACAAAAGTTACAAAACTAGAAAACTCATTCACTCACGAGTCTACCCATACCAAATTCATCAAAATCCGACATCAAATGGCCATTCAAATCTCCAAAATCATCTCTCCAATTCTCTT